CATACTTTTTTCTTTTTTTGATTGTATACATTTGTAATTTGCACATACATATAAATTGCTCGCGAAAATGTCCATATCGAGCAATCTGCCATTCATTATCCACTCGCAGTTATCGGGTCGCAATCTACTAGAAAAAAGAATTTATCGAGACTATCTAAAGCTTCAATTAGCAGTAAAGAAAAGTAAGTAAAAAATTATTTTCGGTCGTGGCCGAATTGTTTATACCCATCACGGTTAAGGCATGTGGGCGTTGTAGGCATGTCCTTTGAAAAGTTTAAGCCAATTCCAAATTCTTTTGCAAACTTGTAGGTAATATTTTTATTTTCCCTACTGCAAGAATGTTTACCACAAACACTACACAGCTGCTAAAACTGACAGGTGGACAGACGGACATGTTTAGGTGCATTCCAAATTTGAAACTGGCCGAAAATTTATGTACTTTATGGGGTTTTTGAAGCTTGTTTCTTCGCCTTGTAAAGGTTTTGAAAAAATATATTAAATTTTGATCCAATTTTTCCCGCATTTGTACAGATGCTACAACAGCATTGCCAATGGAATATGCGTTCAGAGTTTTGTAGACTTATCGGTTATAGTTTGTGACGAATGAGCAAAAAACCAATTTTTAACTTCGCTTGGAAAGCAAAGGTGTTCTCAGTTTACGTGCTACTGTAGGCGTGTACTTCGACCGATTTGGCCAATTTTCAAAACCAATCTACGGGCAAAAACTTGCAATGTGTCTGTCAAATTCGAAGGCGATAGCTTGAGTTCCCGGCTAGGAAAATGGTCACAACAGATAATATGCAGACAGATAGACGCACAGAGGTAAATGCTTAAATCGATTTAGAATTTGATGCTGACCAACATTATATATATATACTTTGTGCGATCTTTGATGCTCCCTTCTGGGCGTTGCAAACGTTTTGACAAAATGAATGTATCTCTGACGAGTACAAAAATGGGATCAAAACCACAAACACGATAACCGGTTGGTTTCTTACGTTTAGTGTAAAAATTAATATAAACGGCGCCCGAAATCACTTGTTGGTTATTCGTTACCTGCACGCCCACAATTTATTCAATTGATCACAAATTAGAGTCCTGCTCGCCATTATAGCAAACATGCCTTAGCATAGCATACCAACCGATAACCCAAAGTATTATGCAAAGTATTTCATATTGCTAGCGAGCAGTTTTCCACTGTTTCGATTTCTGGTAATTGAGACTAAACTTGAAAGTGAGTTAGCTGACGACAGTAATGTGAAACGAGCGCTGAGTTTTTCCCTACTCGTACTTTACGAATAATTATTGCATTTTCCACGCGGTCAATCAGACGGGTGGATATTAAAAGTTCAAATTTGATATTAGGGGACGGTCAGGCACTCTATGAACATAGTTAAACAAATGGGGTCCGCTTTTCGCTTCATTCAAGTGTAGATGTTCGCATTAGACTCGATTTGACCATGTTCGGCTATTCGTTCATCTATTCGTAGCTTGTTGGCGGTAACCTCTTGGTTTTGCCTTTTACCGTACAAAACCGCAATTTGAAAAGTTTTTCTTCATTTCCAGCAGCTAAACATAAAATTCACAAATCCAGTGTCCTGATCGCGACAAAAGAGACAAAAGTTATATAATTTTTCGTTACAGTAAGTGTGAGCCGATTGTTCTTACGCCGCAACTGCCGGTTGACTCAAGTTAATATATGTGGCGAGTTTCAGAACGACCTCTGCTCTCTCATTCTTTAGCGACGAAAACATTTCGACACATACGACAAAACACGTTTTAGATTATTGCCGTTTTCCCTACTTTCTTAACGACGAGCATTTAACTAAAACATTTAGTTGAATAAACAATATATGCAGAGAGAGAGAGAGAGAGAATGAGAGAGAGAAAGAGAGAGTCTTGATTACAGCATCTCTTGTGTTAATTTAGGTTTTAAGCAAACAGATGGAGCAGTCAACTTATATTGTCATATAAACTCAGAGATTTCTTTTACAATTTTAGGCGAAATAGCAAAATTTTATGTTTCTCCTTAATCGCCTAAATTAAAAGATATCGTTTGATGGTCCATTGGATTGTCATTAACAAGTAAGAGAAATATTGTGAGCACGCTTTGATGGGAATAGTCGATAGCCATTGCTGATATAAGCCAATACCATTACCAAATATGGGGCGGGCCCCAAGGACCGATCGAAATTATTTTTTAAACTCTTAAACAAACCCTAACACATTTCAAGTCAATATTTTTCGTGAGACTATAAATAGAATTTTTTTGGTTAATTACAGTATTGCGCTCTCTGAGCGTTCTTGTGATATGCTGTGATCATTTTCAAACTTAGTTTAGGTTAGATTTATCCATAATTTTGCGAAGACCAAGAAGATATATACAAACATATATATATATGCATTTCATACTCATCGCCCAAGGATGGGGGGATATATTGATTTGGACAAAACGTGTGCACCATCCAGAATGGAGCTCAATCCACAAGGCCCCACAAAGTATATATATCCTTGATCGGCTTGAAATTCTTGATCGATCTCTCCGCCTGTGTAATGTCTGTTTTAAATATTCTCTTTGCCGCAATAATGAAGCTTTCGACTTCGAATTTAGCAAACAAATTGAAAGTTCTTGCTCGTAGATTGGTATTGAAAATTGGCCAAATCGGTCGAAGCATACGCCTACCGTATCACGTAAACTGAGAACACCTTTCTTTCTAAACGATATAAAAAATTGATTTTTTGCTCAGTACAAGATATAAATCTAAAAAACTTTGAACGCATATTCAATGGGCGACACTGTAGCACCTGTACGAATATGGAAAAAATTGACCACACCTACCCAATATCATAGTGTATCAAAATTTAATTTTTGTTTTCAATACTTTTCACAACAAGCTTTAAAAACGCCATAAAATATGTAAATTCTTGGCCAATTTCAAATTCGGAATGCCCCTAAAGATGTCCGCCTGTTCGGCCATCCAGCTACGCAGTATGTGTGGTAAAAATTCTGCTATTCGTTTACGAGTGTATCGTTCACGCAAATCCTATTTGCACAAAAATTTGACCCAATCGCACACAAAAACTGTGAACACTTTTGCTTTTCGCATTTGCTGCGCGATATTCACAAACAAATACATTCTATAGATTTCTCGATTTTCGAAAGTCTATAGACTTAGAGTCTGAAGACTTTTTTAGTCATTTTTAGTATAATGGTGACGGGTGATATAAGATTCGATTGCAACCGAATATAAATTTGTTACGTATCCTATTTACGTATCTTATTCACGTTCCGTAGCATTACATAAATGAAAGGATGTACGCGCGTCTCGATAGTGGGTACAAATGTACAACTGGACATTACTCAAAGCGTAAAGTATTTACGTTCGATTAAAAAATCAATGTTTCCCAAGTAGCGAGTAGCAACTTAGCTTAGTGGCCGAGTGGTAACGTAAGTAAAATTTCATATGAAAATTATAGTTTCAACGAATAGCATGAGAGCATGAGCATAAAGAGGCCAGCTCGTCAAACCTTGGCCAAGTCAGCAAATTTGCCATTATCCCTACGATCGATTCTCATTAGGAAAAATTGTTCAATTGAAACGTTCAAAGTTAGAAGGCAGTCAGAGAAGGGCATTGAGTTTGATACTTGAGCTGAATATCCATCATTCACTTGGGTATAATGAAGATATGACATCTTTTCCATTTAAACTTCAAACATGCAAGAGATTTATATTGCTTTAGGCTTGACAGTTGCGGCTCGCGAGCCGCTTTCAACGGACTGGGGGGTTATGTGTCGACCTGGTAAGAAATAGTTCGAAATTGTGTTTACTTTGAGTCCCAGCAAAATTGCTTGAAATGTGGTCTCACATGGCGAATATATCGCAAATTTGCGAATGCCTTTTATATTGCGTATGTGTGTGTATATGTGTGTGTGTGTGTTTGTGTTTTCTTTTTTTGTCTTCTTAATTTTCTGTGCATACGTCCTGGTGACTAAAAAAAGTGAAATTTATTTTACGTCACTTTTCTTAAGGAGATTGCGAGAGTTCTATGCACCATTGTTCGTATTGTGCACTGTGTCAAAAGTTTGTTATGGAACTTTGGATGGGTCTAATAATGTTTGGGTTAAGTTTTTATCTTTTTAAAGACCGACGGCCAACGGAACTTAGCTGATTAAATGGGCAGCAGTGAGTGATGTTGATCAGTTTGCTAATTTCTTTACCAATCTCTCTATGTGTTACACGCGTAATGTCGTTTTTCATATATTTTCCTCCCTCCCGTAGTGAATGGTAGATAATTAATTTTATAAAAGGGAAGAAAATATATGATGTTTTTTAAAAAAGCTTTATATAAACTAAATACTGGCGACAATTTTTATTGCTTTTAATTAACTTATCAAGCTTTTTTCGCCAAATGCCTTCAATGAACTTTGAAAAATTCTCTCTTAACTGTTTCGAAATTTTCTAGAAAATTAAGATCGTGTTTTCAAAAGATTTAAGAAGAAGAAGAATTTTTATAATAGAGATGATTTTGATAACGTTTTTATTCGACCTCTTGCAATAATAATCAGAAGTTTATTTCGAAAAATTTTCAAACAAAAATTTTTATTAAAAATTTCCACAAAAGCATTTTTTTTTTTTACAGTCATTTGAAGCTTCCTGTTGAGGAAGTCAAAAAAAAAAAAAAAATGTACAAAATATATAAGAAAATTGATTGATTTCTAATGCCACGATCTTTAATTCAATTGATTAGTTAAAGATATAGTCACTGCAAGCATTTTTACGGATCATAATTAACTTTACTTTGTTGAACGCATTTATATCTCGTACAGCAAAGTGTAAGCGATGTTGAGATATGAAGAGCATCTGAATAAAATTGAATGCAATTCATTTAATGGGAAGAGCATAGAATATGTCTTAGTATCTGCTACATTTCTTATTGTCTATCGTTGACCGTCGGCGCCACAAAATTAAGCTAAACCTTACTTCAATCTAATATGCTTACCGTCATCGGGCTGCTGACGATTATTTATTAAATCACCGAGTAGATCCTTAATTAAAAATGATTTTGAATTTTGTTGATGCATGATTTTTTCTTTTCTGATTCCGTTGTTTCCGTTTCCGCTTTCGCTTCCGTTATTGTGTATACTAGATTTGAAGTTTATTTCAACACTTTTTCATAAGTTTAATTTATATAATTTTTTTTTTTTTTGTTTTCAAATTTTTTAATTAATTCAATTTTCTTTTTTTTATATCTTATTACATTTTACTTATATATATATTTATTTATTTATTTATTAACTAATATTTAACTTGTTGGACTATCTTCGTTAATACTTTGAACAAAAACCACTTTTACGTTCCTTACGAATATTTTACGTTATATGGTTTTTGTTGTTCGTTAGCCATTAAACTGTTAGATAAGACTAAACGAATTACCCATAAATACTGATGTGACAGTTAAAAAATAACTCTCTGTTCCTATATACATATAAATACATATATATTATTTAAACGTTAACATTCAATCTAAAAATCTGTGCAGAGTAAAATGTGTTAAAAAGAAATTAAGGCAAATATGTTATAAATGCACGCAGTTTACTCTTCTCTCCGCCCTTACATATAACATATAAACATATAAACGCCATCTAATAAACCAACCACAACAAAATCAGATGAAACAAGCAAGGAAGCTCTAGTTGTCGCGACTCGCAGCGACTTGATGATACCCATCAGCACATTCGTAATTTTGTCTTGTTAGTTGTAAGCGACTCATTTCTTGAACGTCTTTACAAAATTTTCAATTCAATTTTCATTGATGATCGTTTTTGAATTTATTCTTGCTTGGGTATGCGTTGACAACAAATAATTTCAAATTTCTTTTATTGTAAAAAATTGCTGGCAAATTGTAGTTGGACCGCTGGACCGCTGGACCGCTGGACAGACGAACATAATGAAATTGACTAAACATTGCGTGCTGGAGGATGGTTGCACGGATCATTGTTACATTGCAAGGAGTGCGCTTGAGACAATTTAGTGTGCGTTACAAACAAAGTATTAAAACTAGCATATGGTTATCCTTCGAGAGCGGCCAGAACACGAATGAATTTTTCGATTTTTCCCTCTCTTACTCTCTCTTTTACGATACAGTCTAGTTTACTTTCGCAGAGAGGCATTCAATTTTACTTTTCTTCTCTCTTTTCTTCTCTCTCTCTCTCTCTCTCTCTCTCTCTCTCTCTCTCTCTCTCTCTTTGTCATTAGTGGTAGATATGCAGTTGTAATAAAATGCCGCCCACAATACAAAAATGCGTTAGCCATTTTGTTTCACTCTACCCTTTCATTTCATTCATTCTCTCCTTCTTACTTATTACAGTCGGCGTTTATTCTAACCGTTGGGAATTTTATTAGACGCGAGAGAGTGAGGAAATTTTCAGGTAGAGTGGTTGTTATATATATTGCAAACGTTTAGGCTTGTTAACTCACTGAAATTTTATTGGTTGTTCATTGAATGCACGAACTTTTTCATAATATTTTTACATCAACCACCGAGACATTAATGTTATATACTAGTTTCGTTACACTATTTGTAACACTTAAATTCCGTGAACCAGAAACTTTTCCTCTACTTAATCCACGTAGAATTCTTCTTATAACTCTCATATATCGAGTTCGGGTATAAGTTAAGTAACTTGAAATACAACAAAACTTCCCTTCATCTTAACATTTAGAATTAACTAACTTTCTCAATCTATTATTAGACCAGCTGATACATTCCTATCTCAATTGTATAGTCCGCAATATAAATACAAAGTGTAGAGCAATTAAAAAAGTAATCTGAGATCCTCTTAACTGCATCCGACGACATACAGTAAGTTAAAATTATTAATGTAAATAAAAATAATAATATATTCCTTAAGTCACTTGGTTAGCGGATTACGTACGAATTTTGCGCCTTTTACGATCTGTCGAAACAAAATCGCAATCATCTTGTCAGCCAGTTAGCGCGCATTTTTTAGTTGCCTTGCTTCGGTGTGTACAAAATGCAAAAATTATAATGCATTTACTTATCCCACATCATCGGCAAATTGCAAAATGCAACCACAATCGCTTTAGCTGCATAGAAAGGACGCGGTTCGACTGGTAAAGTGCTGCGAAAAGCGGAGTAAAAAAAAAAAAAGAAAAAAACGAAAACAAACACAAGCGAAAATAATTCAAAAGATTTGAATGCAATGTTTAGCGACAAAAAATGAGTCCATTACCATATCAGGCAATAAGATATTATCAGCAGCAAGTCCACTGTTGGATTTTATTTCAAAATGGTAACTAATACAAGCCTAAACATAAGTTTTTTTTATCAGGGGAGATACGTAGGGATACGTGTTATTTGCAAATTGATTAATCATCTTTCAAGTCGTCTCATTGCGACCATGAAATCGTAAAAGCTGAATGAAGCGTGTGTGCTTTATTTACGGTGGCATGCACTTTACGCGCAAGCCTTTCCAACTCTCAAACATTTAGTTAACAGTTCGATCTAGGAGCTTCTCTTCTTTAACTATCAGTTTTTAGAATCGAGGCTTTTGTTATACACTAAGCTAAACATTCAAGATTTTACATCATTTACTAAACTTGGTGTAGTTTAATACAAACTCAAAAAGATGCTAACCCCCTCTATATTTTTTAGGTCCTTTGCGGGACAAGGATTTAATAATTACATCATTACACGCCATTGCCGTAACAAGAAGAGAGAATTCATTCAGCTATCGGTTTGCCAATCAATTCATTTTCATTTCGCTTTTGTTATCCCGTGTAAAGCGTGCAAGATTTTTGCTTTTTCTTTTCTATCGAACTTTCGTATACTTGACATCGTAAGTTAATGTTCATCAGCCAGTATTACCAGTATTGTTAAGATTATAAGATGGAGTTCAGAGAGTTCAGTGAGGAAAGAACTATCCAAACGGAATGAAAAATAAGTAGAATACTACAAGTAAGATCATTATTAGTAAGGCAAAACCGGCGATTAGATACCCTACGCCAATTCGTCTTGCGCTTGCTATTTATGACAATCCCCATATATGTTGGTTAAGGTCCTTAAGACTATACCTATGTACCTATCCAAACTCGTTAATGTTAATTTTGTTGCTTATTTTGCTCCTATTAAAAATTCAACCTCTTTTGAAAGGCTCGCTATCTATAAGAACTCTTATATGAAATGATATCCAAGAAATAGCGCATATGGCTCAAATTGGCTCCGCTTGCTTTTAGTGTCAAATAACTGATAGATGCCTGCATATATTTTGATCAGGAACATCTATCGGTGACAAAGATAAAGTAATGCGAAGTATCAATGCTCACACTGTTGCATTCGATTATTTGGACGTTTCTCTACATAAAATAACAATTTCCCAGTTAGTATTATTGCGTTATCCAGCGTGAACATACGATAATCATTGAACGTATTTGTGAGTAGCGATGAAACGTGACTCTACTACGATAATCCCAAGCGTAAAAAGTCATGGGATTAGTCCAGGAGGGCCATCCACGTCGACACCGAAACGGAATATTCATTGCCATAAACGTTTGCTGTACGCACAGTGGAATCCGCAAGGCGGAGTATATTATCAGTTACGGCAGATGTTTACCGGCGTCAATTGAACAAATTGAACGATATAGATGAAAAGATCAGCAATTGATCAAAATACGTGCAAGCACCCAATATTATGCACAAATTTTCATCATAAACCATTAACAATTAGGACTTTTTAGCATATAAGGAACTATATGGCCTGGGAATCTTTATAAGCGATGGTATCCAAGAAGAGACCTATGTGGTCCAGATTCGGTAAGGTTTTCATCATGAAGCATTGAAAATTTTGCCTTTTTGTCATATCAACTCAGATTTTGTTATACGAGAGGTGGTTCCAGAAATTGCCCCAGCCGGTTCAAAGTTTTCACACCAATTTAGACTCCCGACATGCTACTAATTAATTATTTTTGCCGAGAAATTTTGAAAATTACAATTTTTTTCCACATAACGCCTTTTCAGGATAGGAGTTTATATGGAAAGTGATCGAAAGGGTGAATCTAATCGAGAAGCAGTCTAAACTATTTTCAATAGCGTTCATCCTTGAGTTAAAACACGTCAATGTGCCAAATTTTATAAAAATATCTCAAGAACTGCGATCTGTAGCTTGAACACACACTTACGTAGGCCGACATTAAACGGACAGACAAATTTAAATCAATTCAGATTACGATTCTAAATCGATCGGTATAATAGATGCTAGGTGTATCTTAAGCCCGTATCTTAAGCGTGTTACGTACGTTCGTAGTAACTGTACCACAAGTGATGTTGAGTGTAATGATAAGAAAAAATTTTTTAGAAAATACCAGATACTTGAAAAAAGGTCTCCATTTTTTTTAAATCATTGAAGAGTTGTTTTCATACTCATTCGCGCGATCTATATTAAAATTCTACTGCCTTCGTTCGTCAAACGCGAAGATAATCCCAACCTTTTTACATGACTTCAAAGGCATTTGCTACGGTTGTAGGTATTCTGTAGATCTGTAAAACAATTCTTAACAAAGTTCTGTTGTATTAGTATTGTAGTTGTGTAAGACTTTCTAATCAAATTCAAACTTATTCGAAGTTTGACCAAAATTGAGCCGACCTTTAGAGATCCCGCAAACTATATAGCTTCGCGATGAGCATAAAATTCTGAATCGATTGAAGCCAATCCGTCTCTCGGAATATGCAAGGAAACATTGGAAACCGTTGCATCCAAGTGGGTATTGAAATGGGTTAAATCGGTCGACGCACACAAACTGAGAGCACTGTTTTTTTAAAAGCAAAAAAAAACTTTAAATTTTTTGCTTATTATCTTATAAACTATATTCGATAAGATCAAGACAATTTTCGCATATATTCCATGGGTAATGCTACAGAGCATCTGCAAAAATGGGATAAATCAATCGATCCATTATATATAATATAATGCATTAAAATTGATTATCTTCCCGTTTTTTTCGGCTTTTTAAGTCTTAAGTGAGATATATAAAAGATTTAATCAAACATGATTTTCTTGCGTGTCTTTACTTAGACTGTCTATGGATTGTCTGTCACCTTTCAGAGTTAATATTACCGAAGCTATCTGACTTCAAAGCCGTCTATTTAACAGAAGAATGGGGCGAATATTTTCCTTGCTAAGCTTGCATTCATGCTTTCATATTTAGTTCAGGAAACTATGGCGGGTGTATAAAAAGGAACTTCATCTTCATCTTCACGTTTTTCTTTTTTTTTTTTTTGTTTGAATTTAGGCCATTTTTTGATATGTTCGATGTTCATAACATCGATGAAATTGTTTTTTAGTTAATCAATTCCCTTGAAAAAAGGAAACCAATGGAACTTCGTCTCCCCATCTGTTGCCAAGTTGGCAATCGGTTTTCGGGATACTTTTTATTTTGAAATGATCTTTGAAAATAGTAAACATTTGTTTTTAATCAAAAATGATTGCACGCTTTCCAAAGTTTGTCTTTTATTTTTTCAACATAATCGCTAATGTGCAAGACACCGTTGTCGAGAGTGGCCACATGCAAGTTACGGCCCGAAACAAAGGCATCATTGATGTGAGGATTATGTAATTCCGATACTAAGGTACTGCAGGCAGTAGAAGGGTCATTAGAGCCGTCTAACGATGCCTGTAAGTTTTATACTAAAGAGTTACAAAATTTCAATGAACAAAAGTTCCAATACTTACCAACCAAAATTCATTACCTGGTAAAGCGTTACCGTCCCAAGCATAAGAAACAATTAATAACATATTTTCTGCCTCGTTTCCGGTCTACAAATATTTTCGAAATTATTAAAGGAAAGGATTTTCAATCTCTCGCTAGTTACTGCTACTCACCAACTTCTCGTTAGGATTACGTTTCGATAAGTAAGTTTTGATGCCACCTTGTGGATGTGTTTCGCTTAAAAAAGTCCCGTTATCCCTTAAATCGCCCCACTCTGACAGGTGAAACCAAGAAAAATGCACGACTCCAATGTGATTGAGTTGCGGTAGTAAATACTTTAAACGTTGAGTAAAAGTCTCTAAAAATATTTTTGTCTGCTGATCGGCAACTTTCCAGACTCCCAAACCTATACCCACAACATGAATGTAAGCTTGTTTGCTCAATTGCCGAGCTCTAGCTTCCGACTCCACTAACAAAGTATCAAACGTTAGACTATAACGCTTTTTCATCATGACGTTGTCGAAAATCGATGATTCCGTTGTAGAAGACCTTGAAAAGGTTTCTCCAAATCTCTTCTCATCTTTAGCACTTTGTTCATACAGATAATCGGAGTTTTCGTAGAAACCATTCCATATGTGTCGATAATTAACTAAACGTGAAGAATTTTGCTCCTTTGCGTTTCCTGCTCCATAGCCGTTCGCTTTGACGTTTTGCCGAGGATCAATAATAACGTCTTGGTATTCCATTACACCGAAGCGTTCGAATCGAGCACCAATTAAACCTACTACTACACCGGATCGTTCAATTTTTGATAGATCCGTTTCTATTACTCCGCGATTGTTACGATTGCCATCGTTAATGAAATCCGTATGTGAAGTAACAGTGAGGAAGGCTGAAAGCTGCAAAATATTACAAAGCATACAAAAACAACGCATTGGATGGTTGAAATTACTTTTATTTACCTTAATTTCATCATAGCTAATGACATTATTAAGAACTAAGGGCGGGATCTCGTCTTGCGTTCCTATTTTCAGATATTCATCCCCTTGACCTTTGTCACCCGTTAAAAGCAGGTATAAATCTTTCGGGCCCATAAAGGTAACGCAGCGTTTAGTTAGCAAACGTTGCACAAAGTCGGTAAGCTGAAGGTCTCTGTACAGTTTTTGCTCGCTAATGCTACCTGGAAAGAGAAAAATTCTTACCGTTAGATGAAGACGACAAACATTTTTTGGCATAAAAAGAAAAAGAAGCGAATGACAGATTTATAAGGATAAGGAGAAAGTGCATGGAACACTAGAGTTTAAATCATTACTCAGTTGCCATTATAAGGTCTGCTTAAAGGGGAACATTACACGAAGATTGACAAACGATAATAAACGCGAAGGCGTACACTTCCAATTAATTCAATCATTTTGCAAGGAAGGACAGTGTAGAGTAAGATCCCGTATTGCGAAAGTTACATTCCAGCCAACGAAGCATACTTATACTTACGTATATTTTCTGAGTAAATGGAACTCACGAGAAACCTTATCCAAATCTCGATTGACAAGTGCCGACAAACGCGTAATTTAAAGCTTTTGTAAACATCCCTGACGCTTTCACTATAAACCAACACAGACAGTCTCAGTCCTCGCCTTGCACATGCAACACCTAGCTCGAGCAAAATGAATAAATTTACAATTTATTTGACAATTGCATTTTATTAGATAATTTAAATAATAAATATTAATGATTAAATATTGAACAAAAAAAATCACAATAAATTGATTGATAATACAGATGGAAAAGGCGTAACAATTAAACTAAAATCTTCTTTACATAGTCCGCTATATGTAAAACACCGAACTTTTCCGAAGCTATATGAAGATTTTTGCCATTAACCTGATTCTCATTTATGAACGGATTATGTAATTCGGTTATCAAAGTACTGCAAGCAGTAGAAGAATCGCATGTAGATTTCAACATTTTCTGAGATTAAAAAAAAAAAAAAAATCAAGAAATTTTAAAAAAGTTTTTTTTTTTTTTTTTTTTTGAGGAAAAACCTACCATCCAAAATTCATTGCCTGGCAAAGCATTACCGTCCCAGGCATACGAAACTATTAATAGCATGTCATTATGTTCCGGTAAAGTCTTCTCTCATCAAAGGGAAGAGAGAAAAGGCATTGGATATTATTTAAGTGAAATTTGTTTCGAATGAATCTTGAAACTAACCAGTTTATCGGCCGGATTCCTCTTGCTGATATAAATGTGAATGCCTTCGTTCGGATGTGTTTCCGATTCAATTTTTATATTATTCTTTAAATCCTCCCATTCGTTTAATTGAAACCAGGAAAAGTGTATAACTCCGATATGATTTAATTTTGGCAATAAATGTTTGATTCTTTGGTGAAAGCATTCGAGAAAGATTTTCTCTTGTTGTTCGGCGACTTTCCACACCCCCAAACCTATACCTACGACATGAATATAGGCCAGTTTGTTCTGCTCTTGCGCTCTTGCTTCGCTCTCCATTAATAAGGTATCAAAGGATATCGTCAAACGTTTTTTCATAATTAAATTATCAAATATATCGTTCATGTTTTTACATTCACCAAACCGTTGATTATCTTTCGAAACTTGCTGATATAAAAAATCAGATTGTTCATAAAATTCTGTCCACAAACGTCTATAATCTTGAGCTTTATTTGTAGCAGTCATCTCTTCTCGCAGGCCATAACCATTTTCCGATGTATTTTGGGTTTCGCTTATGATAATATCTTGAAATTCCATAACATTGCGACGATTTAAACGGGCGCCAATAATACCGATTACTAGACCTTCGCGTTCTATGCGCTCTTTATTTTGTTCAATAACACCGCAATTTTCCCGCTTACCATCATTTATGAATTCGGTGTAGGATGAGACCGATAAAAAAGCTGATAGCTGTCCAAAAGCAACAAATTTATTATATAACATGGTTTGTTAATGCTCCGGCAGTGAATATTTACCTTAATTTCGTCATAACTTAAAACATTTCTAAGTATTAATGGCGGTTTTTCGTCTTTCGTTCCCACTTGCATGAAGCCACTACAGCCCCGCACCCTTGACATTAACAGATACTTATCATTTTTACCAAAGAAACTGGCACAACGTTCGGTCAGTAGACGTTGCACGAATTCAGTGACATTTAGTTGAGCGTATATCTCTTTTTCAATATCGTTGCCTGTGTGCGCGAATCCGTTTTATGAAGAAAATAGAAATAATTTCTAACTTTTTTTTTTGCAAAGCCCTTATTATTAGTACATGTTTGCTGAATTTTACCTAAAGGCCTTAGGCAAAAGCTTTCGAATACTTTTAATTTTTATATGCCTTAGGCTGCACGTTTCCCTTGCAATAGCCAAATGAAAAAAAATTAATCGGAGAAACCGTAAATTATAGTCTTCAGCATACATGTACATCTATGTGTTTATTCTCTTTGTCCGTTGTTAGGTTACAGTCAGTAAGTCAATGGGATTATGAACTTTTCTCACAATTATTTTCTTTGTAAATTTCCTCTTCCAAGAAGTAAATGAGTTATTTTTTGATTCTTTACATTAATTATACCCTACACTACTTGCGGTACAAGGTATATTAAGTTTGTGCTGATGCATACAATATGTAGAGGACTTTAGATATACCCACCCTTTACTATACCGATCGATTCAGATTCGTAATCTGAATTGATCTAAACCTGTCCGTCCGTCTGATGTTTGTCCATGTGAATATGTGTTCAAACTACAGATCACAATTTTTGAGATATTTCGATAAAATTTGGTGTGCTAACGTGCTTTGACCCAAGGATGAACGCTATTGAAAATGGTTCCGATCGGCCCACTTTTCCGATCACACCTCATATAATGCCTTATTTTAAAAAGTCTTTATATTTTCAAAACTCTCGACAAAAATCGCTGAGTAACAGCATTCGGCTGGAACAATTTTTTGAAGTCCATCTCATATAACCGTTCTTATGAAAACTGAATCTTCGTATGGTAAAAAAATATAATTTTTATTCATCATGTCATGGCGAGAATTGGTTCATAATACTAAATTGACGTAGAAAACAATCTTATCGAAGTTGGATCGCGTCGTTGCATTTTTTGAATACTACCGTACATGAGTCTGCTGAGCGCGTTAATCTGCCACGCGGTAAAAGCGGCATCGGACAGAGTTTTAAAGGTCATGAACGGATGGATCTTGTGGAACTGATGATCTTCATTTGATCTTGCTGCTTCACGCTGCTATGTCTTTCCAGTCTTCCACGATATTATATCGAAATAGGAAGGAAGCTTCATTGGGATTGATATTTACTGTACTTTTGATTCGTAAATTCGTGCGGGTCTTTGACTTTTGGAATATTATATAATAAAGAGGAATAAGAATAAATTATGCATTGATGCACACATAAATTCTCTGTACTCTCAGATCGATTTGTTACTTAAAAGGTTCTATTCTTTGAATATCTATTTGTCCATTGAAATGATAATTAGACCGAGCAAAGCTTTAATTATGCCGCTTATAATATATGCCCTGGAAATTTATAGTCGCATGAATGCTTCAAGCCTGAAGAAACTAGGCATGCCGTCTCCTTGTGCCGGTATGATCATATCTCAGTTTATGTTCTACCTGTTATAGGTTGTTCCTTTGTTAAATTCATTAAAGTTAGACTTCTGCTTAACCCTTACAACGTTATCCTACGGCAAAGACCGAAGGTGCATTTTAATCGCTTTCCCTTGAGTAAGTCGGTTAGGAATAATCGTCTGTTGATTCCTCGTTTTAAGTGCTCTGTGGTCAAGTATTTTCAGGTAAGAGTTACAAGAGAAGCTTACAATTCTCTTCCTATGGAGTTTGAACTGTTTAGATCTTTCCATCTCGCTTACAAACGTAAGCATTCAATTTTCGCCACTATTAATGAGATTAGCTAGTTACTTAGTATTGAGACGAACGTGTGGGTGTCTGATATGTGTTAGTCCCTTTCCTATTCGCTTAGCTATCTTTTTTTCCGCTTTACCTTCCTGTTTTCTTTTCTTTTGTTTTAGATTGATGACTTCGAGCATACGTAAGCGTCAATAATAAAAAAAAAAAAAAAAAAAAAAAAAAATTTGATAAGGGGGAAATTCCTTGGGGGAGCCGAGCTAAAAAAAAATTAATTTTTAATTATAATTATTTATAAATAATTAATATGAAAAAATGTGGACTAAAAAAGTGCCTAAATAAACACATACATCCATATGTTTGTTTAATTTAGTTTGCTTTTTGTTGTTGATTGCATATGAATTTCGTAGATTCCCTTGTGTCAATTATAATGAAAAAATTATGAAATAAGCATTTTTTCTGACTCACCGTAATTGCTTTTATGTTCCAAGAAATCTAAATACAGTTTCAAGACACGCTCATGTATTATGGGATAAGCCGAAGCTATTTGCCTTTCTATGTAAGGATACCGGTCTTTGGGTTGACTTATTACGCGGCAGGTGTTGGTGCCAAACTGTAAGAAATTTGTTTGTGCCCCTTTTTTTAACAAACCTCTATTAACGATTAACGACGATTTTTACGAGAGTATTTTTCGTAAATTTTGTTTTTTTTTTTTGCCTCACTTACCTCTAGGGGAAAGTTGGAAGACTTCCTTTTAAATTCGTGAATGTCGACATTTATTGTTTCCGGTTTCTTTACATCAAGACACTTCTTTAATAATGTTTTACCGTAATCGGAGAAATTTAGAGATGAGCCAGCCGCAGGCCATATCTTTTCAAATTCTGCACCAAAAATGGACATAATATCGGCAAAAACAACAGGAAAGGAAAAAAAAAAAAACAAGCGATAATATTTTCTATTCCGACTTTTTCTCTTTTCTTTATTTCAATTTTCGGGCTGACATAGAGTTTTGACTTGAACTCGTACTGCTTACTATTGTTACCGTAATTAATTTCTAATGTCGTTTAATGCGATGTAACGCTTGCTTCGTTATATTTGTTAAATTCCCGTCTGCTTTCGACAAAAAAAAACGCAAAAAACAAAACAAATGCAAGAAACATATATCAGCTGTTATTGCATGAAACGCGTTTAGCAAAGCTTGGAAAAGCTTTTCACAAAAGTACAGTGTTTTGATAACAAGAGAAGACAAACGACTCGCATTTTCAGGGTATTAAAGTGCGTTAAGCAAAAGGGAATGTCACATTATATTAGGTGTGGAAGAAGCTTCCGCCCTTTGAAAATGGCTGTCTCGTACGAAAGCGTACATGGCACATTCAATTTTTTCGAAAGTTTTGATGTACGGAACTTGAGCATCGGCTTGCTTGCTCGGTACAATCCAACACCCACTCATTTCGCTCGGGCTCGGTAAATGATCTATCGTTGATTTATTGTTTATTTGCAAGTTGTCGTTCAGTGTATAGTCACAGATGTCAACATGCAGTATTTGAGCCTGCCTTCGGCAGCCGTTCCTAGAGTAGTGTATGATGTGATACGGCTTGTGTGACAAAAAATTTACCATGTGTGGATCTCAATGCCTCATGCCGCAACCATAGACAGAAGCATGTGCTGATTTGGTCGTGCTGTTCGATAGAGTATCTGATCGGTCCATTTCTGTGAGTGAGATTAAGACCTCCCTGTTGCGTAAAAATATAATCAATAATTTTTGGAAAAATATCAATAAATTTCCTAAAAAATCGTGTAAATCGAAAATTTGTTTTTGATCATTTCTTCATATATTCTCGGATATATCTCGTGCTGATTGGTTTATTTATGCCTTAACATTGGAGAACTCTTTCAACATTCCAATCGTTCTCTTCAATATGATTGAGTAATTGTTTTCCTATCGCATATTAATTTACCATAACTGCTCTTGTGATAATAAAAATGAACTTTTCATTTTATGGATTGGTAGTATTCTCTCTTTGAAATCTATGTAGAGTTTCATGTCGATGTAGCATTTAATTGCTGCAGAGTTTACACGTGTTTTTGTAAATACAAAAAGTCTTACTTACTTTGTCGGATGTTGTCGAGCAACGAGTTTGGCCATGCGAAATGAATGTTATGGCGCGGAAACGTGGCGAAACGTGGAGAATGCGTGAAGAAAATCTTTACGGATGAGGCTATATTACAAAAAAAAAATATCTTTACAAGTGATACAGAAAAAAGACTTCAAAGAACGCCGGGAACGAGCGAAAGACAAACAGCGCCCCGTATAGCCATTAACATCTATTGACAAAAGCCCCGTTAAGGAAGTGATAGGCTTGTTTTGTACCCTGAATGCGCCAAAGCTCGACTTATTCCAAGAACATTTCAATTTTTGACTTTTACGATACGACGGTATGCGGACTATCAGGACGTCATTCGGTTGATTGAGCCCTGTTCGGATTCTTGCTTTTCAAAGGACACAAATGGCCGGTATCGAGACACTGCTTCGATTCGATTGAGGTGATAAAAGGGTGATATTGATGAAAGTATTTAAGAGCTTCATGTAGAAGAAGGCTTGTCGAACTATTTCGAAGAATAATATTAGCACAATCGCTTTTGGACGTTGGACGGAAGATACTTTTGTATTATATTTTTTATTCACAAGTTCAGCTTATGTCAAAGGTAGATTTTTTTTTTTTTTCTAGTAGAAAATCTTTAGCTTTAAGAAGCGGGCAAAAGCGTATACGTGTACAACGCAGTTGTAGTGTGTACCGCGGGTACAGCTATAGATGTACTGAAGATGATATTCAAAGGTGTCAAAGGCCCTGTCGCGCCGTTAAGCATATTCAAAACCTCTCTCGCACTCTCTTTCAGTTGTTGTTGCCCAGTAAAACAGTTTCTTTTCATTTTATTTCAATAATTTAATATTTTTTGACAAGATATATTTATTTATTTATTTTAAGTTGTTTTCTTTCGTTCCCTTTTTCTCAGTTTGTTTTCTTCTTAAAGTTTTACAATAATTTATTTTATTCTCTAAATACAATATAATCTCAGATATTTTATGTTGGTTTTGTTTTCATTTTAATTTCGTTAATTATTTCATATATGTGGATTTGTTATGCGTTCGCTTTGTTTAGCTAATAAAAGGGTTCCTTGCCTCCTCCTTGCTTTCCTTAAGAAATTTGTTTCTTTTTTGTTTTGTTGTTGTTGTTTTTGTTATTATTATTATTATTATTATTATTATCATTATCATTATTATTATTATTATTATTATTATTACTATTATTATTATTAGTGTTATTATTATTTAATTATTGAAATAACCAATTAATGAAGAAAGCGATTAATTTAGCGTAAATAACAATTTATAAATAAATTCAGTTTAGTTGTTTTAAACGAGAGTCCCTTCTAAACATTAAACTTAAAGGATAGCAGCTAATAATATTGTTAAATAATTTTATTAACTAATTGCATGTTTTACATAATCTTTTCATGTTTTATTATTACTGTTAGGTTTTTGTTTTTTTTTTTAAAGAAAAATATTTCATAAGTTCATACGCAGCGCAGTTTTTTTTCTTTTTTTGTTTTCCTTTTTTCGTTTTTGTTTTTTTTCTAAAAAGGTGAAATGTATAATTTGTGAAAACATTCTTTAAAGTTCTTTTCAAAAACTAAATTAGTTTTGTTTTTTTCGTTTCTGAAACAAGAGATAAACTTAAATAATGGAAAAAAAAAAAAACAAAACAAAACAAAATACATTAAATATTTCGATAGGCGTTGTCTATCATTCTTAAGATCGTTTGGGTCTATAGATGCTTAGGGGCAGAAATCGCAGCATCGTGGAACTTATAGAACTCGCGAAATAGTAATGCATTACAATAAAGTTCGATTAGAGCTACGATCTATTGAGCTCAAAGTAAATTTGATGCAATATATGCGGCGAGAAGGGATTGCCGAAGATATATCAATCAAAAATTTAATCTTAGAAGAAGGTAAGATGTTCATCAGTCCGCTTTTTTTCATACTTCCTTTTAATGTTTCTCTGATTAGAGTAAATTGCAAACCACAACACCGGAACAATGATGGAATCGGTCAATAGCATGTCATGCAATTTTAAAGTCAAATTTTCAAAATATGGCATTATATACTTTATTTTGAAGATCGAAAGGAAGCAGTTAAGCGCCTTTTAAGTCCCCTTTCTTTTGAATATGCTGAAATAATCGAAAACTAGATAGTTGACGCATTTGCTTATATGAGTATATTTTAAGTTAATAAGGGACGAGGGACTAAGTAAATTGTGCCTAGTACGTCTTTACAATAACGATGTAGAAGATTCCTTAATATCCGATATCAAGGTCTTCCCTAGCGTTACGGCTTCGAACACCTCGCATTAAGGATTAAAGGATAAGTGCTGAAAATCACATTTAGTGAAGCATACGCGGACAAATACAACTACAAATTCAATACGTAAGATAATTAATTGTATTCGGTTGTGACCGAATTTCTTACATCCATCGCCGTTATTCTGTTTTTGTAGAACAATTTTGTGGAAACTTGTATAGCGCGTCATTTGGAGTTTATGAGGCGCGAGCAAGAGAGAGCCAACGAAGAACTGTTCACTGGCGTGTGGGTGTTGGCGGCGTGATCCTTCTACTACAGTTTTGATCATTTTCAAATTCTTTTGTAGGCGATGTCGTCACTGCACGGAACCATGTTTATTACGGAAGAATGTTTATCATTGTTACTACACAGTTGCGCTGACGGACGGAGACGGACAGATGGACATGCTTGGGTGCATTACGGATTCGAAATTGGCTATATACTTATATACGGAGTATATACCTATATACTCTGTGAAGCTGACCTTTGCACATTGTAAAGACATTGGAACATGAATAAAATTTGATATAATATTTTATTGGGTAGGCGCGAACAATAGTTTCCATATTGGTGTGTAGGTACAATATCAGAATATGCGTTCAAAACTTTTTATGTTCATCTGCTATAATTTACGAGTAGTGGGCAAAAAACCAATTTTTTATTACTTCTGAAAAAGAAAGGTGATCTTAGTTTACGTAGTGCTGGAGGCTTGTCCCTTACCTAATTTGGTTCATTTTCGTTAACCAACCTGCCCTGCCTGCAAGAACTTGCAATGTTTCTGTCAAATTCAAAATGACGATTAATATGTTTACAATAGGCATTACACAGATGGTCAGACGGTCAGACGGATATATTTAGATTTATCATATGAAAATGATTTCACGTCACACGATATTAAAAAAAGTTGGATTTGTTTTGGTTTCCCCTGAACGTTACATACATCCGAGAGGCTTAATATCCATTTCTACCACAAGGAGTGTAAGGAGTGCAAGGTTATATTGAAAGATTAAATGAATATGAAAAATTTGAATAATTTGAAACGATTTCTTGGGCCACCTCTCCTATAAAAAAATTCTTAGAGAAAATAAGCCTTTATATGTGGCAAGATGATTTATTTTAAAAATGTGGACTGCATCGGCCCATTTCATGGACACACAGCCCTATATGAATGCAGAAGAAGGAAGAAGAGATGCAACTTTACTATATAAACATAGGGAAGGAATTGTTAATTAAACGAATTGGGGTGCGGTATATTAAAGTTAATTTTGTCCAACTGTTTGTTCAATGGAATTTTAGACTTAGAAATTATTACAAGTCGCTTAAAAAAAATTTTTATTTCTATTTGTTAAGGTTTCGCATTCCACACCCATATCGAATGAACTGCGTAAGATAACATTGAGGCATACTTGTGACTATAAAGTCATAACATATAAAGTAAGAGAAGGTTATCCTCCCTTCTCAAGCTATTTAAACGTAAATCCGTCATGGGCGGTTTTAAAGAGATCTCTTGTTTACATAAAAAAATATATCGAAAAATTTTGAAAATTGTTTTCATTAAAAATTAAATGTTTGACTTAATAATTTATATTCAATTTTATTGCTTTCATTTATTCAAAATAAACAAGCTATTAACTTGATTTACACGAGTCCTTAACAAAGTTATAAACATCTTGAAATATGATAATGGTCGCAATCAGTGTCCGCGATAATGTTTTAATGCAATAATGATACCGCTTGAATATTTTTAAATACATTTTGAAACAATTAACTGACTTTTATAAAAGGTTCCGCATAAACGCCTTTATTGACTAACTTAGATTGATGCACATGGCCGCGGCTACTTTTCGCTTTAGATATTTCAAAATGCGTCCGCAAGGCAGAGCGTATTAGATTTTATTAACTCTTATGCTAGCAATTAAGCAAATATCCGCCATTTTGAAATATTATTGTTAATCCATAGCTCTTATAACAATTATACACTATTCTGTATACATGTATACATACATGCATGCATGCATACATACATACATATATACATATATGAATTTATTTAAATTGCTCACATAAACGAGATATATTTTTTATTGATTGATTGTTTTTATATTTATAAGAGAAGTACTCTTCATTTTTAGAGGTCTTGTTTTATATGGGAAAACTTTGCTATATATATATATGCGATCTTTTCATAACTGAGATAAGTTTTCTTAACACAAAGCGAGCGACATTTACTTAGTAGTTATTTTATTATAATTTTTAATTCAACCATCGAAGCAAATACAAATCAGAGGCTCGCTCCATCAACTATCCCTGATCATAGTAAGATTTTGAATTCATAGTTCGATCATCATTTTTTGACTATTTATCCGTCCCTAACGTTGATCTATATATATATATATATAAATATATATATATCCACGCTCGTTTTTTAATATACAAAATTAGTTACGTCCTACGCGTAAAGAGCAAAAGCAAAAATTTTACAATAATAACAAAATTAAAAAATTCTTGATCGAATCAAATTAGGGAATAAAAATTCTCATTAATTTTAGCGCATGGGAAACTATGTTCGATATAAAGAATAGTTAATAGGAAATCAAATTTGTCTCGATTAGTTCGTCAATCTTTATGAAAGGTGCAAAAATGCAATCAAGTCGATGCCGTCCTTTAGCTTATCTCCTGTAGCCAAAAAAAGACTACGCTATGGCAGCGAGACATTATCAAATTAATTTATTCTGAAATGATTGCGAACTGAGATTTACGCAGTTGGGATCACGTTTAGAGCAAAGTAAATTTTAAACAACTGATGCTGTTCGCGAGTAGACCACATACAAGAATTATGTACGGGTTAAGTTAAAACTGATGCGGCTATCAGAATCGGAATGTTTGTGATCCGGGGCGTGGTTAAATTTTTATAAATAACCTTCGATCCAGGGAAGCCATCCAAAATTCCGGTTAACAATTATTAGGACGCGATCCTCTGGCACTATCACATTAATCAAATACCGGTCAGTATTCACTATTATTAACTTAAGGTCGCTACCGATGCGTATAACAGTTCTTGTAGTTTGGTTTTTTTTTTTTAAATCTAATTTTCATTATTAATTTATCTCTTTTATCACATATAAAAATTTTAAGCCAAGTTTTACATATGTTTTCATAAAAGAATTATTTGCAATTTTTAAATCAATTAAATTAAAAAACAGGAAATAACAAAATAACAAAAAAAAAAAAATAAGAAAATAAAAAATAATTATTATTATTATTTTTATGATTATTAATTGTTTTTTTCGCGGGGGAAGAAAAGAGCCTGTAAAATGTTAAAATTGTGTCCTTTCTTTACTGAATTTTTTTTTTTTTTTTCACTTAGTTATTATCATTTTGAAGAGATTGTTTTTATTAAGAATTAATTTGTTTTCGCAAATTTTTCTTTTACTGTAAAAAATAAATGCCACTTGTCTTGTTAATTATTTCATAATTTATTTAAATTTGGTTTTTACTCTTTTTTTTTTCTTTTTTTCTTTTGTTGGTTGCTGGAAGATATCTTTAGTGTTTTCTTAAAAAAGTTTGTTAGAAGAATTCCTTTTATTATTATTATTATTATTATTTATATTTTTTATTTTTAATAATTCCAGTATAAAGTGTGGGTTTGAATTATCCTTTCATTTTTACATTTGTTATTAATAGTTATGTTTATGTCTTAAAAGTAATTAAGTTTATGTGAGAGCTGTATAGGTGGTTATAAACGGAAACTCCAGTGTTTTGCTTTATTAATGCTTATATATGTAGGTACGAGCCGAAGGGGAATAACAATGTTACCCTCGAAATAGACCCAATTATAAATTTATAAATTTATAAATTATTATTATTTTGCTATTGTTTTATTTATTATTTATTATTAATTTTCAAGAAAATAATTTACTTTCGTTAAATTTCATTCATTTGAATTTATTTATTTCATTTATTTTCTCTCTCATTCTTTTTTTTTTTTTCGCTACACAATATTATTATTATTATTAATATTTGATTTCAATTTTATATATATATTTTTTTTATTCATTATTTATTTAATTTTATATCATCATTAACATCGTAACGTACAATGTGTTTCGTTTGTAAAATTTCGCGAGTACGCATCAGTAATTACTAATTAGATAAAGTGCAAGGTAAGATCCGAAATTGGCTAAAAAAAGTCCGTCTCTCGTTCTGTTTTGTTCCGTTCTGATCTGTTTTGATCCATTCGATCGCTGCGTTCCGCGTTTGTTCTATGAAGTTTTGAAGAAACTTAAACTCAAATAATACCTATATGCGCTTAGGTTAGTTGCGATGAAGAAATTGCTCTAACCTATCCCCGTGTACACCGATCATAAATAGCAATTTTTACATATTACATCGTAAATGAGGGGATCGAGTAACAACCAAGAACAGCCAAGCTTTCAAATTTTGTTTTGCAATTATTGCTGTCGCGAATGTTTTAACGATAGGATGGACCGACCGACCGACGGACTTGAATCGACTTAAAATTGCACGTTGATTGTACGTGCGTTACGTCAGGTATTTTATAGAAGTTTTGATATATCAGCGTGTGTTGTTAATTTCGGCTGCCGACGCCAATGTGACAGGTAGTAATCTAAAATTTTGAAAGAAATACGCATTGGTGCCAACCGACTCGCAGCTCGAGTACGAATCGTAGACCGAATCTTGTATTGCTTTTCCACAAATTTATTCTTTGGTTTATCTCATTCAATTCATTTTATCATTGAATTTTTTTTTTGTTTTTAGTTTTTTTTTTAATTTCTTGTTAAATAGATGTTTTACTGTCTATTTGCTTTCAATCCACATGCACGTATACTACTCGCTCCATCACATATTTATAAAATCCACCTTATGTGTATGTGTGTTGGTACACAAATACTCGTACACACACAAATACTCGTACACACACACACACACACACACACACACACACACACACACACACACACACACACACACACAAATTTTTTTCATTTCTTTGCTTTTTGTTTTTTTTTTTCTTTTTATCTTAAAAATTACTTTCATTTTTAATATAAATTTCTTTTTCTTTTATTTAAAAAATTTGACTAGATTTTGTTTTTAGATTTGCTTTTCATACTTTTTGTTTTTTTACCATTTCTTTTCCACTATTTTATATATATTTTATTTCAATTATTTGGTATTTTTTAGTACATTGTTTTAACTTATCATTTATTGCCTTATAACATATAAATTTTATTAGAAATAATATATATATATATATATATATATATTTTGTTTTTCCTTTCCATTTGTCTCTTTCTATAGTAATTCTTTCTCTTAATACTTTTAAATAATTCGACTGTTGCATTTTGGCCGCTTTGAAATTCTTTCCTTTTTACGGCTGTTGTTTTTTTTTTTCATTCTTATAGAAATTATTCTCTGAGTGCCCCGGTTTAAGGTTTCATATATTCAGACTAATCAGAGTCATTATTTATTGTTATTCATTCGCTTTATCATCCAATTTGTTAAGTAAATCCTAGGCAAAGAATTCGGATTTTCCTTGGATTTTATAGGCCTCTTCTTCCACTTTGTACATATCCAATAGCTGGAAGAAGACATCGAACACATAAATAAATGTATGAAATAAAAATATATATAGGATATCTCAAAAACTATTGCAAGATTTGATGGTAAAATGTAGACAAATTCCTCTCAACAAATAAAAAAAAAAAAAAAAAACAGTTTAACAGCTGACAGTTTAGGTTTAATAAAAATGGAGCATTACACGGGAGATTAACGCGTTCAATGAACATTTCAAAGACAAGGAAAGCTTCCCGTCCACAGACATAATTTCGTCAACTACCCATGTGATTTATCACTACTACCTTTCTTTTTATGCGGTCAGTTGAAGTCAAAGAGCTATGTTAATGAGCGCACAGTCGTGCGAGCATTGAAGGAGAAGATTCAATGCTGTTTCAACGAAATTTAGCCACATTTATTCAAAATGATGCTGGAAAATTTCGATAAAAGATTGCGTACCTATCAGCAAACACACACCTAACCCCTGTCCTATATACTTAGCGATTTAATAAAAAAATTACTTTGTTTCAAATCTTGCGCAATTTTATCGAAATAAAGATCAAAGCAAATTAAAGAGTTGCATTTGTTTCGGGCGAAATTAGTTAAATTTCGAGAGCTGCGTCCGTCCTTCTTTTAAATGAATGATACTGCCGGCTATTCTATTAGCAAGTCATTTATTTTTAATTTTCATATCAGCTTCTCAAAGATTAGTCTCACTAGAAAGTCATTTTTTTTTTTTTGAATTGTGTTTTGGTCAAAAATAAAATGAGACAGATATGCAACTCGGTTAATGCTATTTAGTTAGTTGCATGTATTGTGATCAGAGGGTATAATTATTTCAACAAAATCTCTTCTTATCCTTCTTACAATTTCAATTATGATGAGAAGGAAAAAGCCGAAAAAAGCAAGCAGTCAGATGACTGCTAATGTAAAAGCTTTCTCGCTGTTACATTAACAGCAAAATAACCGTTACTAACATTGGCGGGCAGCTTTGCGCGGAGATGAGAGTTAAACGAAATCTATTTAGGCGATTGTGTATTTGTTGTATGCGCATGAAATGAAAGCGAAAGTGGTGATGCAAGGGGGCAGAAAGCAACAATGTGATTTATATAATACCTTTTGCACATCGGTACTAAACTCTTCCACTTGTTTGGTGTGGGCAACTTTCAATTTTTCCATAGCTCGCCCTTGTTTAACACCGATTTGCTATAAATCCGAAAGAAAGATCAAAAAACATCTCTCAACGTGGGGCAAAATTGCGAATCGTTTACCTTCTTCTCCTCCATAAATCTTTTTATGTTATTTTGCCTTTTCTCTCGGAGACGACGATCTTTTTCATTTTTGGTTTTTAAAGTTTTATCATTTTGTACCTCCTTGGCCGTTTCAGCCGAGGTTTTGGCTTGTTTGGCGTTCAGATCCTTTATATCTCTACAAGAAATTCAACAGAAGTGTATTAATTAGTCTAAATTTTAATTATGCATAAATTGAGAGGATAACGTGTGCACTTACCTGGCGTGGCGCTCTTCTAATTGCTTGATTTGCTGCGCCTGCACAGTTAGCATTAAGGCTTTCATGGCTTCTTGCGAGTCCTGAACGTGTTGACGCAATAGATCCCATTCTTCTTTCTTGTGTTTGGCAATCATTTCAGTCCATTGTTTAGTTTGTTCAGTAATGGCGGTTTTAATAGCCGCATCATTACGTATCTCATCTTTACTCTTTCCTTTTATTAGCTTATCAATTGCCGCGTTTTGCGTTTTTTGTATACCTAAACGTTCTTTGGTATGTTTCTTTTTTAGCGTATCTAACTCTTTGTTTTGCTTTTTGGCCACTTTTTGGAAACCCTTTTCACTGCGTAGAGACTCTAAGGTAACGGGCTCAAAAACTAAGGGCGGTTCTTTCTTCTCCTCCTCCTTACCTTTGCCGGCATCTTTGGCCGCACCGCTGCTCTGCTCTTCAATACCCAAAGCTTTCATTTGTTCGTTCTGTTGTTTGGCCGCTCCTGCAAAACCTCTAGGATCAGATAACATGGCCATGAAGTCTTCAAAACCATCAGGTACATAAATTTTCAATTCGATGTTTACAAACAGCATGGGCAATGACATGGGGAAATTGGCTTCGGTACGCAACGACACGTGACGATAGCCCGCCTGCAGACCATCCAGCGGGAGAATACGTTGACCGATCATTTTTCCGCTCTCTTCATATACACCGAAACGTAAGACAGCCAAATCTGGCAGCACCACTTTACGAAATACAAATGGATCTTCATTATAGACAGGATTTAGACCATTATTTGGAACTAAACGTGTACGAAACTCTTTCTTCACCGTGTCTGAAGGTAAACCGAACATGTCTACCTCCACATAGGTACCGACTTTTTTATCCGACAAAAATTGCCCGGCTATTATTTTCACCGAACATTGCGCCGCAATTACACCGTCGACGGGGGCATCAGCAAAGGGATCGAATTCTTTATCGGAACGGCGCATAAAATCTGGTTTTACCAAATAACCGCAGCCACCATTATATTCGAATTTACCCTGATTAAGCTGCATAGGCAAATCGGAGGTTTGGAAGTTCAACGAGACCATTTGGCAGCCGGCATTCCAGAATACTTGGGGCATGTAATTGGAAGAGTCGGCCCGCGTGCCTTTCGGGTATATACGTGACATTTGACGTTTGTTGTAATTGACGAAATCAATAGAGCTTTGCTTCAGATAGTTCATGCCCGCCGATTCAGCAAACGAAGACATATTATGAGCTATATTTTTCTCTAAAGAAAAGAATTTGATACATTAATATGTGAATATATAAACGCTTTGATAAGCATCGATTATGTATAGCATAACTATATATTAACAGTACCCTCGAATACCCCGTTTATAACGAATGGTTTGCTAGTACTTGGGTACAGTGCAATTACTTCTTAACGAAGCACTTTATCAATTGAATCGATTAAGAAACATGAGCTAATGCCTGCCGCCATTAGGAAAATAAGGACAGTAAGAATTTGTACCTTCGAACAGTCCTTCAAATTGAACTACACTACTTCTTAGGGTCAAAATTCCCAAGTAATAGATGGTAATATCGGAGAAATGATATGTTTCGCCATAAACTAAACGATAAACTTCTTCACTTACCAATAGCTTTATCGAATCCCTGAAACTTAATCGGTTGCGCATAATTAACCATTGACGATAGCCAAGGATGTACGTTTGTCGTTGAGCCGCTATACGCCACAGCGGCTTCTCCGCCTTCAGCGGGGGCTCCTTCAGCACCAGCCTCGCCCGCAGCGGCACCTTCGGCTGGTGGTGGCGGCGGAGCTGCAGCTTCTGGCGGTTTCGCAGCGCTAGCATCTTCCTCGGGCTCGTCATCGGTTTTTAACTCGCCCTTCAAAAATAATTCTAACTCGACTTTTTCCACTTCGGGTTTCATGCGTTTATTTTTAATAAGAATCTTACGCTGTAATTTTGAAGGCGGTGGGAGAGGCAATCCAGGTTCCAACTGACAATCAAAGGAAAAAGAATAATATAAAATATGAACGACATAAATATGCAAAAAAAAAAAGAAAAAAAAAAATGAATTAACAATGTACCGGGTGATCAGGTAGAGGTTCTTTTAGTAGCAGATCACCAAAGAAGTCATCACAGTATTTGGCTAATTTATATTGCTGGGCACGATTGCAATGATTTTCAAATGATAATATCACCGGATAGTCAGACGCTACAAAAGCACAATCAGCTATGGCCTGTATACAATCCTAGAGAAGGGGAGGAAGGGGTAAAAAAAATGCTTAACAAAAGTTGTCCATTGTGTAACTGTCTAAGCTTAAGCTGGGCTTACTTTATACAAAATTTCTGTACAATAGGCATGACCGTGAGTAACAATCGGCTCTTCGTCCTCACCTTTGCCATTCCAACAATCTAACTCGACACAACTTTTTTGACAAATCAAATTAAATGAAAATTGATTTTAATTTATTTGGGAAATTTCACCACTTACCGGCATCCGGCCAATAGTGTTTGGCGATACATTTCGACTGAACTCTTGCCACCGATCTGACGACCCGATAAGTAAGTATTATGAGAACTGTTGATGTAATAATGCGCTAACGGCTGATCCATATCCATATACATTTCCAAACGATCCAAAAACACGGGAGCATTCTCATCCGACATTAGATAACGCTTAAACCCGTCCATGGATAGTTGACCTTCACAAGTGAGCATTATGAAAAACGATGTCAATCAAATTCGCCATCAAACTTACAATTCTTTTTAAGTTCCTCGTTTAATTCATAATCGTTTATAATTTCTGTGCAGCGCTTCTCCTCGTAGAGAGGATACAGAATTTCGTTCATACGTGGATCACGTTGCTTTTCGTTCATAAATTGCACGAACTGAGCCATGTCAATAACCTCCGATTTACCTTTTGTTCTAAACGCAAACCAAAAATAAAAAAAAAAAACAAATTGTTTTTTGTTGAGTTTCTTCGATTCTTTCTTTTCTTTTACGCTTACATCGTTGTAAAAAGTTCTTCTATGTCGTTACGGGGGCATACTTTATGATAAAGCTTGTAAAATTTGTCAAAGGTAAATTGATCTTTGGTCATGGTAGCATTTTTATCTTCCGGCAGACCAACATCTTTAATGCATTGGTAAACGAGTTTCTCCGTCTTGCCGGAGGCGAATGTTTTCGCAATTACCTTCACCGGTATCTTACCACCCTTCTCCACTGAAAAGCATAGACGCATCCAACTGTTCAAAGAAAGTAAAGAAAAATATTACAATTTATTAATACCAACAGCTTTCAAATGATTGCTTTCGAAAAGCTTAACAAATTAATACAAAAAGCACAGTTTAGCTCAAGGATTTATTTACATCATTTCTTACCTGATAGCTGTAGGAGTCTTGGTTGGGACTTGGCAACGAATTTTCCTTTTCTTTTGTTTGTTTTTTTTTTTTTTATAAAGATATTGCCAGCTTGTTGAAAGATTATACATACCTTGTATTTACGTTGCCTTCGAGATTTCGTTTAAGTCAATTGAAAGAATTAGAGAGTTAAATAGTAATCGGGAAAGAGGGGATTGTCTGAGGGTTTTTCAGGACACATCTTGCACTATCTACATCTGCTCTATCAAGAATACATTAAATTTATGTCTTTGAATGCAAAACCCGATACGGTTGCGGTTAGAGCTCTTCTCTTATCTACATCTAATCCGGTTAATTATAGAAGCTTGCATGTATTTTGATCAGCGATATCTATTGGTGAAAATGATAAAGTGATCTGAAGCATCAACGTAAACAACAATTAAATTCGATGAATTTTCACTTTCCCTTATATAAGGTAAAACAATCTTTTTTCACTTAGTATTATTGACTTATTCAGCGTCTGCAGACGCTACCCATGGAATGATCAAAAGTGCATTATCGATACTCATTACTTTTGTTGTGTGACTTGAACAAATCTGCTGCCGTCGACCATCAAACACTTTTAGAAGCTCATGCTGCTAATGCTGCGCCATCAGGTCCCAAT